GTATATGTAAGTGCTCTGTTTTTTGACATTTTAAATGTGTTTTAACTATCCTGCAGCCAAGTTGGACTAGGAAGGAATAATAAAGATTTACTGCTACTAGGAAAGAACAAATGTTCATTTTGGGAGGCAAACTGAACAGCAAAAGAGCTGCATTTTTACCAGCCATGATCACATTTGAACCCAGCTTTAAAAGTGCATGGAAAATGAAACCGGGTCATTCATTCCAGCTGTCAGCAGTAGAAACTTGGCTAGATTCCCTTCATTCTTACCCATAAATAGTAAATGTAATCCTGTTGTTTGGAAGTTTCTTTCATGCAGTATGATTTATTACTCGCTGTGTTTGGTGTTTTATGGCAAAATATAATCTGTCCATAATCTGAAATATCTAACATATCTGAAATATAATGTACAATATACAACCTCATTTTCAAACTAATTGGGATGCTGTGCAGAATGTAAATACAAATAGAAATTATATGCAAATCATGTAAACCATATTTTTAAAGGAAAATACTACAAAGACAACATATCAAATGTTTAAACTGAGAATCGTTATTGTTTTTTGAAAAATATACACCCATTTTGATGCCAACAGCATGTTCCAAAAAAGTTGGGACGGGGTCATGTTTACCACTGTGTTTCATCACATCTTCTTTTAACAACACCCTGCAAGCGTTTGGGAACTGAGGAGACTGACTGCTGTAGTTTTAAAGGTGAAATGTTTTCAAATCCTTGCTTACTATAGTATTTCACCTGCTCAACAGTTCGGGGGGCTCATTTTTTTGTATTTTTCATTTCATAATGCGCCAAATGTTTTCAGTGGTGACAGGTCTGGACTGCAGGCAGGCCAGGACTCTTTTAATATGAAGCAATGCTGCTGAAATACATGCAGATTGTGGTTTGGCATTGTCTTGCTGAAATAATCAATTATGAATACTGGCTTTTGAACTGTGCACTGATAACAAGCTGAGTGGTCTTTAGCCTGGAGGACACAGTGTCCATGATCTCCAAAAAGAATTTTAAATGTTGATTCGTTGGGCCACAGGACACTTTTCCACTTTCGCTCGGTCCATTTTAAATGAGCTCAGGCCCAGAGAACATGGCAGCATTCCTGGATCCTGTTTATATATGGTTTATTCTTTGTGCTTTAGAGTTTTAACTTGCATTTGTGGATGCAGTGATGAACTGTTTTCACAGACAGTGTTTTTCAGAAGTGTTTCTGAGTCCATGCAGTGATTTCCACTAGAGAATCATGTCTGTTTTTAATGCAGTGCTGCCTGAGGTGAATGGGGAATGTGTATTGCTAAAACTGTGTAGAAAATTCAGTTAGGTTTCAGAGTGCTGAAATCCAGCAAATGCAGAACAATCTGTCTGGTGCCAAGAGGTGTAAAGTATCAAGTATCAAGAGGTGCTGTGATGAGCCTACATTCTCTTCATGTGCAACCTGTCATACACTTACAGGTCACTTTATTAGCCTTGCTTGTGTACAGTTAGATACTATAGCTCATCTGTTGCCATGCAATTTGTGTTAACCATTGTCTAGTTCTTCATCAGTAGGCACTTGCTGACCACAGGACCACTGTTGGCTGGATATTTTTGTCAGACTGTTCCGAACCCAGTAGTGATATTGCAATGTTTAAATGTGTGTCCTGTGAACACCAGTGTGCCTGATACACTCATACTAATGTCACACATCCTGCCATGCCACTACCATTTCAGTGACTGCTGTGCTGAGAATGGTCCACCACTAAAATAATATCAGTGGTCTCTTTTCAATGATGAATATGGTGGAGGAGGACTGACAAACAGTGCAGCAACAGATGAGCTACAGTCGGTAATTGCACACCTACGAAGTCGACCAATATTATATGGTGTACCTGTTAAAATGACCAGTGAGTAAAGATATGGCATGCTGCATGTCCAAATGTTTGTAGACACTTCATCCACTGTTTTTATTTCTGTAATTAAGGGTATTAATAGAGTTTGTCCTTCTTTGCTGCAATAACTGCCTTTACTCCTTGGAAAGGCTTTAAACTAGATGTTGGAACATTGCTGTGAGAATTTGATTGCATTCAGCAGCAAGAGCATTTCTGAATTCATGTACTGCTGTTGCCTGATTAGTCCAAATGGAAGGACATATGGAAGGTTTCAGCTGTGTTAGATAAATGCCTCTGTCCACAACAGTGTTGCTGAAATGTGTGCGGCTGCTGTCCATGGTTCTGATCTGTGTTCTGGTGACACTTTCTGTTGGTCCTATTGCTTTTTTCATAGCAAATGTTGTAGTGCATTGCCTCTAACACGGGTTAGGGTTTGTAGTAAAGTTTCAGTATGTAGAATTCAGACAAAACTGCTATGTTTACTGAACTTTCTTGAACGTGTTTAAGGATTCTCCAGCTAAGAAAAGGCTGCAGGCTGTAGGGTCATGTAGGGTGTAATGGTAAATATGTTTGTGAGACTGTACTGCCAGGGCAAAATGGCAGACATGGGCATAAAATACAGTGGTTACCCAGCACCTGCAGTGGTCAATCCCTGCTCTGGACTGTGTTTTCATATTGATTTGCCTGCACGAGTGGCTGCTTTGGTCCCTGTAGAGGGAAGCGTACTCTGTCTAATAATCACTCATGGTGGTGGGCTCTGCTGCGTTTTGTGCTCTTCAGCCTGAGAGGATTAGGCCATGACTGTAACTTTGGCAGTATTGATTCTGGATTTGTGCCCTGAACAGTGCTGGCAGTTGCTCAGGTTTGGTGTTGTCTGTCTCCTGGGCACTATTCAGCGGAGTAAACAATAAATGATTTACACAAAAGGAATTATACCTGCCTACACATCTTGCCTCTGAATAATAAACACACACACTTTGAAGTGTCATTGCTGTGTTTTTTTTTGTTTTTTTTTTTATTTTTACCCAATTATCTCCCCAATTTTGTCGTTTCCAATTCCACCCGCTAGTTAGGACTCCCCCAATCACACGATGCTACCAACGCTAGGAGGGTGAAGGCTAGCACAGGCTTCCTCCGAGACCTGTGAAACCAACCACCGCTTCTTTTCGAACTGCCGCTCATGCAACATCACTGGACAGCCGAACGCACTCGGAGGAAAGCGCCAACCGCCAGATCTGTTACGTCAGCTAACAGACGCATGCGCTGACTAGCATCGCGTTGAGTGATGGGGGGAGAGGGAGGGGCCATCCTACCCACCCAGAGAGAGCGAGGCCAATTGTGCTCTCTCGGACTCCCGGCTACGGATGGCTGTAGCATCACCAGGGATCGAACTCCCGATCTCCTGATGATAGGGCCAACGCTTAGACGGTTGCGCCACTCGGGAGCCCCGTCATTGCTGTGTTTGCTGCTGTTTTTTTTACACTATTTGAAAGCTCTGGCTGTTCTTTACATTGTTCTATGAAAGATGGTCCAGAATTACTTAAACAAAGATTAATGTTTGGAACATTTTTCCTTTCTCCTGTGAATTTGCCATGTGGAGAAACAAGTTTTTGTTACGACAGAGACGATGCAATTAAATTCTTAAATTTTCATTGCAACTCTTGACTTTTACAATTTTTATTACGATCATGATGAATGATTATTTGGAATTACATGTCAGAATTGAATTACACATTACACTTCCCTTCATTAAATCTCCAGTGCAGAATACCTATGAAAGGTTGAAATATAGGGTTAGATATTGATCATTACTTATCTAATTTTATAAGAATCAGGTCCTGGTGCTGGTGCAGCTGAATATTACTCTTCATTTCCATTGTAGTCTGTCTGCTTCCTACGCCCTGCTGTGTTCTCTTGCTGAGGATGCAGGGAATGCCACTGATTTATTTGCTGTGCTTCATTGATTTGCTGACATCTTTCAGAGGAACAACAGTAAATCATCCTCCTTTACTTTTACTGACATTAACTCATTGAAAACAAAGAATGAATTCAAATAATATCATTACATTGTGAAAAGGCTCTTAGGCCCCACATAGGTTAGCCCTGGCATACATTTTAAAACCTTGTTCTTACATTTACTTATTTACATATTATTTCTCGCTCTTAGGTCTCTGAAGCAAGCAGAGAAATTCTGCAGAAAGAGTAGATGCTAAACTGCAATTGATACTACATTTGTTTGTAAGAAAATGTGCTAGATAAATAAAGTTTACTTACTCTCTCACTTATTTACTTGTTTTGTGAGGTTCATACTAAGTGTAAATGGATAACAAAATTCATAATAATTTTTTTTGCACTCGGCTATTACAAATACACAGTTTAACATTAGGACCTTTTTTAATTTAGAGGCTTAATTTATGTCTTCTTTGAGCATGAGTGATGTATTTTTCACCTGTAAATCTATAAACTGTCATGTAAATATGTAAAAAAATAAATATTTATATCCATTTCTACGCTATGTTTCGTCATTTTTCAGATTTTGATAATAGTATTGGCTGTGTGGGTAAGATATTGTAAAAAAAAAATTTAAATTAAAATTCAGACTGAAGCTATAATATTGGCCAAATTAATGGAATATCCCGATCTGTAGATCTTTGCATCTTTTTTTGCTTTGAATTCATTTACAATTTGTTGTGAAGTTCTTTACGTTTTTGTAATGTTTTCGCCATTTCTTGAATATAAAACACAGAAGACTGAGAGTTTTAAGGTCCTCTGTGTGGATGAACAAAATTCTCCAATTTCACACTGCAGTTAAATAGAACACGTCTGGTTGAACATACACAATAAACAAAGTAGGCAGTAAATCCTGCTTTGACATGTCGCCTGGCTAGTTGGTTTGCTAGGAGAAAATTGATTTGTATTTCAATTCATGTAATTCACCTTTTGCCCAATTTACTTAGGCCTGTAGTTCTCAAGGATGTGTTTTGCCATATCTCGGTGAAACACTGCCACAGTTTGATTTACTGAGCTGTGCAATAGAGCTTAGGCAAGGGTGGGTCTCCCAGGCAATGCACAAAAATAACTATGAATCAATGTGTGTGTGTTTTCTCACCATTTTTGTTGCAGTCTCAGCAGAAGTGCATTGTGATCTTTGCTCTGGTGTGCTGCTTTGCTGTCCTGGTGGCTTTGATATTCTCAGCGGTGGACGTGTTGGGAGAGGATGAAGATGGCATCAACGAGGAGAACTGCAGCAAATACTGCCAGTAAGCACCTTCATGAAATAACAGAAAAAAGTGCATAACTAGGTGCTTTTGACTTCTCCACGCACCTGGTCAATGACACCTCTAACCCAGTGCATTTTTCTATAAGAACGAGATGTGTTGTATATTTGAATGTCATAGTTACAGAGGCCATGCAGAGCTTGCATTTTTAGTCATAGCCAAGATGATCACTTTGAGAGCGTCAAAGGTAAAATCTAGACCTAGTAACACAGTAACAACATTCTTAACACCGTTTTCATAGCAAAATCCTGCCACACAGACACAATGCACTGTTAGTGCCAGATTGAAAAACAGCTGTCAAAAACTCTGGCTACAGTGATTTTTTTTCAATGTTTCACGTCCTATAACGTTAAAAAATCAAACTGAACTGGACTAACCATGCTCTCTTTTTAATGAAACATGGAGTCGTTCAGTTTTTAAGTACTGACTTTTATGATATACTCAGAAATGTATATTATCACTGTAATCAAATTCATTATAACAATAAAGCGGCAGAAGTAGCCATGTTTTTGCATTAGCTTTGAAGGCTTAAAGAAGGGAAGAGTGTGGTGTCTTGGATACTTTAACTTATCCAAGGACCTTTGGTTCATTCACATACGGAAGTCTTCCGTGAGATTAGCACTGGAGTGAAAGAGAGATGTCCTTGACAAGTTATTTCTTTCCTAAAATAATGTTTTTAAATGTTTACTTTATGGAAAAGATGTACAGGACCTATCAGTTAATATGAAATGATATCAAAGAACAGCTCTTGAATGCAAGCTGAGTGATGTGCAAACAACTAGAACAAGGCTTTGATGCTATAATTATCCTGAAAAGTATTCCACTGGCATCAAATGTGCACCCAGTATAGAGTATTTGTGGTATGCTGCCTGTCTGAAAACAGTCATCTATCAGAAGAAACCAGTATTAGAATCTACCTTTGAAAGACTTGTAGCACAAAGTAGCTATATCTTAGCCTTACTCATCATTATATTGAATTACATGCCTGTGTTAAATTACAGCCCTACAGATACTTTAACCATTTTATGTCCCAGCTAATTTACCCAATATAAATTAGCTCTTAATGATGACCCTTTAGAATCCAATTACCTCAATAGCATTACATTAGCAATGCCTCTCATTACTTTTTTCTAGTCATATCCTGTGTGCCCTAGAGTCTGTCTATATGTCTGTGCTACAGTGAGTCTGGCTCTAAGCACAGTTAGACCTGTCCATCTCAGGGCTGGACTGGCTATTAAAATGAGAATGCACATGGCTACAGTGTCCTCCCTTTGAGTTCCATTGTTATCGCGCTTTCCTCCAGTGCTCAATGCGTAGCTTGTTAACCAAGAACATTTTCCAGACTCAGCCATTTCCCCAGTCCCAAGAGCAATCTGCCCTCCATTTCCTCCTAATAAGTGTCGAAAATGCAATTTGGGACTCCAAAGTTGAAATTGATTCCGCTTTGAGAGCTTGGAGCCATTTGGAAGTGAAGCTCCATTCCTTACTGAATGTGGTCAGCAAGTCTGTTTGTGTTGTATCAGTGGAGTTGTGGAGATGTTTCTCTGGATTGCCTCAAGAAGAAGTGCTAAATTCCAAGTCTACTGTTTGACAGCACCTGTCAAAGTTATCAGGAGTCTGCTCCTTTATCTGTAGTTCACTTTGAAATGAAGAACTGCTGACTTTAGATAATAAAGCACCTCTAGTATTGTTGCATTCTTGGTGTGCTGAAAGGCCAGGGAATTGTTTTCATATAACAACCTAATCCATGCCTGTAGATATCAAAAGAAAGATATTGTTCATTGTGCAGTATTCTAGCCCTGTCTGTTTTTTGCTTCACTGTGCCCACGTCATGTTTTGTTAGCTAATTATGGTTGGTTGTGATTGCATTAGCATATAAGAATGGAATCAGAACTGCAAATTGGTTTGTTTTTGCTTCTTAATCAGTACACATTGTACTGCGATTTCACTTGGTGTCTGGACAGTTTCAGACTAAAATAATGGAACAGAAAAGGGGTATGTGGTAGGGATGTGGTAAGGATTAACCTGTTTACTGATATGCATATCTCTATAAAATTCCGTGGACGTGGGTGCAATGGCTTCAAACATGGCTCAGCCTGTAAGGTTTCAGACCTGCAACTGTGTTTTAGAATTGGTATTTTGATGGGCTGTGTGATTTTCAGCTTGCCAGTTAATGGTTAATTATTGAAAAATGATGGATCATTTATCACTCAAAAGAATTAGCCAAAATTTGCATCCCTAGTATGTAGAGGTATAACCACAGTTGTTTAGAGCTAAGCTCCAATAAGGAAATATCTGCACTCAAAAGAGTGCAAGAATAAACAGCATCTTTATTTTCAGTCTTAATCATTTGCTGATTCTAACGATCTGTCACTATAGTTTGCATATATTTTGTAGCTTATACTGAGGGGACATAGCTTTAAAGTACAATTTGTGAAATCCCTTATGACTACGAGCAATGCACTTACAGTGCTGCTGTACACTGCAGTCTGGGGAATAAGCATGCAGGCAGCTGTCAGTTAGGTGTCGATTGCAATCAGATGGGGTTCAGTGCAATCAGGTTGGCACTGATGCAATAAAACACAAAAGGTCCTTCTTACTTTTAAAATTTAAAGCACTAGTTCCTGTAGTTTTTAATGGTGGAGTGTGTCTTATACACAATACTGGTATGTGGAATACATTCTAAATGATGTGATTTATATTAAACAGTCTATATGTTATCATTATCCATTTCTTATATTTTTCCCTGAGGTCCATTTCTGATTTTTGTGTGGTTTTGTGTCATAAATTTATAAATCACTGTTTTCCAGTCCCTCTTTATGCCTTAGCATGCAAAAGGCTGTGTTTGTTACTCTGCTTTTAAGAATGATCATATGTAAATGTTCCGATTGGCTGTGTATATGTAAATAGATTCTGCTCTGATTAGCTGCCTTGTATTGTGGACTGTGCCTTATTACTTGAGTGTGAATGGGCGGGGCTGTAACTGCTACTGTACTGCTGTAGGCTGTATAGATGGATATATGTAAATGCTTTTGTTTTTGTGGCATCACTGAACAATTTATTCAGAACAGGTTGTTTGTACATCTTAGTTTCCATATATAAGGTGTATATGATTCATGAGTGAATGTTAGGTTTAAAAAGAAATGTAACAATGTTTACAAATTGCTTTAAACCTTTTTTATTTCAAGTGAAGAAAATATTTTTTCCATGATGTGTACCCCTTTTATTTTACTACCCTGTGAAAATTGAATGCTGTGCTGATGCGCATGTCTGTGTATTCCAGTATGACATAGTGCAGTTCCCTTACATGTTCTGACTAAAGATATTTTTGCATTTAATTGTGTGGCTTTGAATATCATTGGTGGGGGAAATATTGATTCAGGGCTTTTTAGTGGTGGAGTGTGTAACTAAATATTGAACATTGTCCAGCTCATTTGGCTTTGAAAAAAGGGTCTTTAGAGCTTCTGTTACCACTGTTACCTCAACATGCGCAAAACCTGAAACAGTATATTGGCCTGGTCTATCGGTAGGATGGCAAAATTAGTTTTTCCCTTGTACACGGGTAATTGTATTCGGGGCATTTTGGGGGACTAATTGGTTGATAGAAAAAAAACCATTTGACAAACAAGATTTGGACTTCATTCAGCATTCCGTTTGATGGAACTTGAACATGATTTTGCACTTGTTTTCCTTCTGTCTCTGTACTGTATCTCTCTGTAACTGTTCAGCTCAGACAGCTTAAATCCTCATTCCTAGGGGAGAAATTGCTGCAGCATGTAACCACAGAAAATATTCTGTCTGTGTCAAAGCGTCCACAGTATACTCATGTGTATGTAGTATGAAGGTCAGTGCAAGGGCCTGCACTAAGTGCCCTTGCTGCCATAAATCAGCAGGATATTTATAGGAAAGATCCCAATGAAAAATGTTACCATGATGTAACAAAACCTTTTAAAGCTCTGTTTTCATACATACTCCATATATTTGATTTCCAGTCAAAAGTTATTCATGTTTCAGCGTTAGGAAAAAAGCAGAGAACATATTTAAGATATATTTAACAGAAAATTACATAGGAACTTTAACTACTATATACAGTTTAGAGTACCCACTCTTTGCCTTTATTGCACCTTTCATTCTTTTCAGGAGACTTTCTATTTTTCAAAGAAATCTGCATTTTCCACAGCTCCAAAGGTCAGTCTTAGAAGTTGGTTGCATTTTCTGCTTCTCACATTCAGCGTGATCCCAAGTACATTTAGTGATATTGAGACGTTCTTCTTTTTTCCATTTCCTTTTCTCAGTAATGATTTCTTTCTTCTGTGGCGTTGAGTTGTCTTACAGTGGAAGGATGGACAGAAACATCTGTGCACTTTTTTCAGGACTAAAGCAAGAGCGGTTTGTTGCATTCTTGAATTAATTGCAAATTCAATGATCAGAACTAGAGTCAGTGTCTTGTAACCCCTTAAAATCCCGGCTTTTTACGTACTAGGACATATTATACAGAAACTATAGGGACTTTAGTGCAGAATTGCTGAGCTACTCTTAGGTTATAGAAGATGTATAATAAAACTTCAGGCCCACCAATTTACTGTTATTGAAATGCTAACACAAGCAGCATGTGGCGCACCATTTAGCATTGCCCTCATACTCTATCAACACTACCAATATAAGACTAACAAATAATGGAAGAAAGCTGAAACGTATTTATTACAACACTTCATGGGCCTTACGATAACAAAGACCCTACAATGGGGGAAATAACACAGAGACAAGAGCATGTATTTGAGTTGCATCTGACTTCAGCTGGAATATTTCCTCTACTTTGCTGTTTAAGCAACCTTATTTAGCTATTTATATGTGATCAAGGTGAGGATACAGTCAGCAAGAACTAGTACTTGACAAATAAGTGCCCCAGAATGTAAACTGTGATAGTGTTATGATATGTCAATGGATATTTGAAGAAGTACCACTTTAAAAAGTACCATTTATTCTCTAATGTAACATTAGCTAACTCTCACTACTAGCACTATTTACAGGTGTGCTACAGGGGTACGAAGGCTGTTGCTGCAGTGATATATGAACACCGGGGGTCAGGGTGTTTGGGGGGTGCATTTTTGTGATGGCCACACCAAATGAGGGAATTCATCATCAGAGCATATTTTTCTGCTTCATCATCGTTGTACTCTGGACATGTTCTCCATTTTAATATCTGACTCTTCACAGATGCTTATATTGTTCCTGCAGCACAAGCTGCTGGTTATAACAGCAGAGTAATAAAAAAATTGCAATGTCTTTGATTTTATCAAGTGACCAAATTACATGGTCAGACTGTACTTGCATTTGTTAATGTGATCTGATTTAAATCATGTTGTCGGAAAGTAAGCACAGTATGAGTTCAACCATTTAGATATTCAGTTCACCTAAATGACATTAATTGCCTTGCATTAATGTGTAAGCATGGATTTGCAGATGAACTTGAATTTGTTGAATTTATTTGTACTGTATACTTTCATTGTTGTCCTATTGCATCTCATTTTGACATCTAATCACTTATAAAATAAATCACAAATAAAAGTAAAACTTTTTTATGAACTTGCCTCCAAACTATAATGATGTAATAATTTTGAAGCCTGTGACCTGGGAACAAGTTAAGACAGACATGAATAGTGTGGCAGTGGAAATAATGGTAAAGTACAATTCAGAAAAAAAATACCTTTCAGTCTCACAAATTCCAACTGCAATGCCAAGTTTGTTTGTTGTTTTCGTTCCTCTTTGAAGTACATTGCATCTGACTCAGATAATCAGTAATATAAAGGAGAGGAAAATAATGTACATTACACTGACTTATGGCAGTCATTTTTCCATGTTTTCACTCTGTAAACATTTGCTTCCTTCTTTTGTCATACTCATGCTGAAGAGTATTTCCTGAATTAGTCAGGCAAGGAGGAATGAATCGATGGTTGAATTTGCTATACGCTTCATTCCTTCTGTTACAAATGGAAATGATTTACCATCTCTCATGCTTTTTTTCAGTACTGAACTAACACTCTGCCTGTGTTTGAGGAACGTAAGCGTCACTCTGGTTCAGTGACCCGGAGAGATGAAGGTGGCCATACTTAAACCTATCTGTCAAATGTGTTTCTATTTCGAAATCTCTCCAGTAAAAGCTTTTCAAGTTGTTTTGAACAGAGGGAGCAGGCCTTTTTATTTTTATTGTGCACATCAATCAACATAAAAGTAAATATGCCAGTATTAGCTGTGCTGGCTGTAGTCTCTGAGGCCTGATGTTATGAACAAAATAACAATTTGCATAGAGAAAAAAACAACATTATAGGGAGGAAAATGCATTTTCTCAACTGGGACACTTTTGAATCTTATACCGAACTGGATGTCCAGTTATGAGCCACTAGTCAGACTGTAAGTTACTAATACTAACATGTCATGTCATGCCTCACAGTTCAAAAACACTTTTCTCACAGTAACAGTAAATTGTATAGTACTGTTGAATCAAAAGATCATCCAAAATGTGACACTGCTGCTGTTTTCCTTGCAAATACAGAGTAGTGCTTGTGGAGAATATTCCAGAAGACATCTCCATTTCACATGAGGGTACGATGCCGTTGACCATGGGACTTCATGGCCTTCTGGACCTGGCCCAAAAATCGGTGGAGATTGTGTCACCTCTGTGGGCTCTGAATTCTACAGATCACGGGTCTCGCTTTGCCCGAGCCAAGCAGGTAACTGTGGCATCCAAATTCACCGAACTACTATTAATTTAATTTATTTATAGTATTTATTTTTGCACAATGCCAAATAGTGGATAAAATATTTTATTATTTGCTAGCTACATTAGTCTTATAGCTCCAGTGCAAAACGAAAGAAGCAGACTTCCTACACCAAACATGTTTTGGCTTATCAGCTACATTTGAGGTAAAGGAAAAAGTTGTATAAATTGGATATTTTGATCTCTTTGAAAAAATCCCCAAAGGCATCAGTCTGAATCTCCAGCAGCTGATATTTAAAGCAGTGTAAATGACTGCATACTGTGGAACAGGGAGAGACTTTTTCACATTGGACAGTAGCTTCATGCTCTACTCATTATAGTAAAGGGAGATGAGTTGTCTTCAATGGCTCCCTCTGTAGCACTTTGGCAGGATGCTAATTGCTCTCTAGGCTGCTGATGGTTGCGCAGAACTAATCGCTCCAGTCAGGTGCAGTTGTTTCCTGTATGCCTCTGTTTATGAAATCTCAGTTTTGGAACAGAATGTAAAGAGTGTAAGACTAGGCCATAAAGAATTTTGGTAGAATTCTAGTATTTGTTCAAATTTATTTATATTACTTTGATTTGTGGAATAACAGTCGTGGTATTATGCAAGATCTGTCTTTGACACTTGCTTTACTTCTCAATTTGGAAACATGACATCATGAGGAAAGATAAACAGAGTGGTTCTAAAACAGCTGACTGTAATTTCCTATCAATAGCTTCAATATACACGACTTCTTTAAATTCATTGCCAAGGAACCAATAGGAGCTGTTAAGAAGTTGTTGCAGTGAGCTCTAATAACACACAAGGCGTTTACTGATGTGAAAATAAATTACTTGCTTATGCATCAGACACACAGAGCAATCTCCCACATTCACACCCCAAATTTGGTGTACAAAACATACAAAACAGCTCCCATCCACTCTTCATTTTTTACAGTGTCATTAGAAACCGCAGACAGATGGTAGCTTCAATGCTGAGTTAAAAAGCTTAATTGCCTCATGCTAAAAGCTGTTCCAGAAACATCCATTTCCATTTTGAACAATTTTCAGTCTTGTTCCCAAAGGAAGATGCTTAAAGAAAGAAAAGCCATGCATGTTCAGTTTCCTGTAGTCCTAAGAGCATTCTAATTTTAATGGGTTACATTCTCATGTCACTGATGGGAAATCATATGAAATGTTTTAGAAGCCCTTTGTAAAATTCTGTGTAGGGTTTTTTTTCCTCTTGTGATAGCAAGTTTTGAAATGAAGCAGTAATGGAAAAAGTAAACACATACTTTAAACTGCCCATTTGAACTGAACCAAGGAAATCTGGAAGACTACAGGCTTGCCAAGCTGCCCATAAAGTCCCTGGCAAGGTTCTTTGCATTATGATGGAGATTGACTTTCTGTTTTATTGAACAAGATATTAGAGCTCCAAATATTTTATAGGTGTCTGACCTCTACATATTACCTGGTTGTTGATCCCAGTGACATGAAAATATCATACACTGTTGGTTACTGCCATTACAAACATGTACATAGCTGAATTAGGGTTACATCTCATAATCTAGAACATCTAGACCTCAGTTAACAATGTTTTACTGTTCTTGACATGTTCTTTGGGCTTTGTTTAGCTTTTTCAAATGCAGTGACTGAAGCCCTAAGGCAGACTTAGAACGTTTTGGGAGGATATTTTACACATTAACAATCAGCAAACAGTTTTGCTCAGTAAGATGTCCTGTCTTCCTCTGAGGGATGAAGAACTCTTCTTTAAAGTGGCTACTGTGAGGAAAGCAATGGACCTCATTTACGAATATTTTTCAAAGTTTTTGCTTACATTTGTTCTTGAAAAAGGTCCCAAGAAAAAGTCAGATGTCAGATTCATGATGTATTCTTAAACTGCAAAATTGTTTACATCTTTATGCTCTTTAGTGTGCATAGATTTTGTTTTTACCTATGAACAAATCCCAAATAAGAATACATTGGCGAATATTTGTGAAAACTGTGTAAGTTGGTTTCAAGAATTTTCTTCTTAAGAATGGTTGGTGAATGAGGCCCAGTATTGTGTTTGTCTGCACTTTGTGGCTCCACTTTTACGACTGCGACATCATCCACAGGGTCAGCTCCTGCTCCAGCGGCTGATGGGCTTGAAGGCTCAGCATGTTCATTTGAAGGTGGCAAGTGGAATGCCAAACAACATCTCAAAACCAGAGCTCGAACTTCTTACTAACTATGGTCAGTGCAATACCTTACTGGAAATAAGTTAGGCAAAGTATAGCTCTAATGCACTTTTTAATGACACATTCTATGTAGTACTTTTAGGTAGAGAAAGGCCACCACACACAATTTCAAAACCTTTGTATTTAATTAAGATACACACACTGACATTCAGCATCAATGCATTTTCAATTTCTCAGTGCGTCAGAGCACGCCTCTCATCCTTTTGAAATTTGTAGTAAAAAGCAGTCAGTCTTTTAGATAAACAGAGAAAAGCTATTGTCAAGTTACCTCAGGTAACGCTACTACCCTAGACTGCTTTTTTACCTTATTTATTGCAGCTTATTGAGTTTATAAAGAGCTAATATAAAAACTAACAAATTGATACCAACCTTAAATTATGTTGAAAGTTTTATTTTATTAAATTTAAAAGATTGTGTAAAAATGAGCTTGAACATAGGCTCCCTCACTGTGACACATGCTTTGTAGTATAGCAACAATTTACTGTATCTACCACATGACGCTGCGGCACATGTCTTGAGTGCAGTGGTCTTCGGTATGTCCTTGTTCTAGAACTTGAAACGGATACTTTGTAAATGCCCTTTACATTTTGAATGACATCCATTATTGCATTGTTTCATGAAAGTAAAAGTTCTTAATATTCTTTTTTACTTTACTCATTCATTCTGCTTATTCATTTAGACTTGGGCTCAGGATCCCATGGTACATTTTCTTTAAGGAGTCAGATCCTGAAAAAATAACACCTTCATATTGAGGAATCTGGTGGTCAAGTACTTGAAAATGAAAAGCAAAGATTAAAAAAAAATGAACAGTCTGACACATGAACAAAAAAATGAACAGTGTCCTACATCACAAAATAATACCTTTTGTTTATCAAACTAAATGATAGCTAACTTCTCACCAATGGCATGCAGTTGCCTGTTCTGCACACAGCAAAACCAGTGACATTTTTGGCACAAGATATAGTCACTGGATTTAAAAAAAGTTTTATAAAGTTTGTAGAAGTTCCGTGAAAGTCATGGGTTTTGTGTGAAGTTCTTTTGTTCATGCAAGTCTATTCAGAGAAGGATAAGAATCTTAAGTCTTATAGGACTTTGAATCTGTTTTTTGCTGTAGCACTGTTTTGAATGTTTGCCTGCATCATCATGTTAAACAGAAAACCACTGTCTGTTGTTGTTTACTTTGCATGTCAGTCGAATGGCCCCTTTCTGTCAAAGTGGGCAGTTCTTGGCTACAATGAGACATGTCCAAACAGACTCTGACGATAGGAATGGTAGCCTAGCAGCACAGCCGTGCCAAAAATGTAGTTATTTATTCACAATGTTTTATGTTTGGCTACAGACAGCACAAAATTTGCAATTTTTAGGGGGCTATGCATTTTTTATTTTAGTTAACTAATTAGTAAACTGGCGACTGCAGTCCAACTTCATAGATTTGATTGCTTGCAGTGTAAGGCAACTCTCTAAACATAATTTGTTTGCAGGTCAGAAACTTCGATAATTCATGTCGAAGCTGCATACATAGCATTTGTTTTGCAGAGGTTAGACACACCCTGCCCATGCCACAATCAATAATTTAACCAAAGGAAATAGCAAAAAATGTATTATTGTATTTTTGTCCATTCATAAATATCACGTTTTGATGTGCTGTTTAGTGTTAACTGTCTTACCTGGGCAGTTCTGTAAGTCTCCTAACTTACTGCCTCATGCAGGTGCAGAAGTGCATGATCTGAACATGACTGCCCTCACCCACGGCAAACTCCATTCCTCCTTCTGGGTTGTGGACAGGAAACACATGTACATTGGCAGTGCTGGCATGGACTGGAGATCACTTTCTACGGTAATGGAGAGCACCAAATATATGGCACCTAAGTATGAGTTTGGTTCCTATTTTGGTATTTACTCTAGCTCCATAACCACATAATTGCCCAGAAAACAGCAATCATATATCATACTCTGGCAGGACATTACACAGTTTCTGTTTTATGTTCTCAACAGTTTTTTTTCATGAATACTTTCATAAATCTGTTACACAACTCTAAAAGTAAGACCAAGCCATATCTCACATTTGAATGCACAGAGAATGTGAATGTGCTCTTTGAAATGGTAATCAAGGCTGAAAATGTGTGGACTGTTGGAAGGATAGGCTTTTAGAGGAGATCATAATTGGAAATGCCTGGAGTGCAGCTGGCCTGGGCATGGTGCCAAAAGACAACAGACAAGGTGGATAAGGCTGCAGGCGTACCATGAAGAGAAAACACAGAGTTCCTGACACCCTCTGATCTCCTAAGCTCCTATTAGAGTACAGTTGTCTGAGGAGAGCTCCTGCCCTCCGTATCTGATTCCCTGTACAAAGGAGGGTTATATCAGTGCAAAGGCTGTGACTAGCTGATTCTTATATAGGCAGAAATTAGATGTGATACCTGTTCAGAATAGAAATGTGCTGTTTTTCATCAGACAGTCACATGAGTTTCAAAACTCAAGTTCAGTTTTGTGTGTGTCTCTTTGTGAGTAAGTGATTCTAATATTCCCTTCCAGGATTATACATAGATGTCTTCTTAATGTGGCATTTAATTCTTATGGCTGAATTATGTTTCTACATCTGCATATCTGCAAACTTGTGCGACGGTTTTGCATCTTCACAGTAGTGCAGCTCAACCTTTAGAATGACCAAGAACATACAGTGAATTTTTTCATTGCCCTGTCCATATTGAATGGTAGTGAAACACCATGCAGCTGCTAAAATTTCTGATAGACATTTGTTTATTTTTCATTGAACAAAGGAGTCTACCACCTCACTGCTATCATCCATTATTGTCAGTGATTTTAAATTTACATAGAATAAAGATGTGTCATATTACTGGGTTTTCTAAAATTAAATTTTTTCATTTTTTTTCTTAAAACCAGGTCAAAACCTACCCTAGACTTTTTCTTGTGAAATGAGTTGTTCTAAAGTACAATATGGTGCAAAAATGACCTAATTGCATAGAATGAGAGTAAAAAAACTTAAGATACTGCACATGTACTGTATATGCAAAATACAGGATTTCACATTTGCTGTTGATACTATATTATGGCATGATGTGATATGGCACATGTGATCTTATAACGTTACTTCACTGTTCCATGTTATTTTGAATAATGTGAATAGTGATGCATTTCTGTCACTGAAGCAAATACAACCAGAATTTTAGCTATAAAGTTAATACATAAATAACATTATATAGAAAACAGTTTCAACTATTTTTATCTAGGACAGTTTGGAACTTGAAACTGGATGCAGTTCTATGCCCTGTAAATGTCCTATAAACGTCCATTATATTTGCTTTTTGCCCAGTGTTTGTTTTTAGAAGCACACAAACTGAAAATTAGAAAAAAGTTGGTGTTTTTTTTTTTTTCAGAATAAAAATTAATTTGTACTTTAAGTGCCAATGAAGCATTAACTTGTTTAACCCCTTACTTCCTGACAGAGGAAGGAGCTGGGAGTCATTATATATAATTGCAGCTGCCTGGTGCTGGACCTCCACAGAATATTCAGTCTCTACTGGCAGCTACAGTACAGAGACTTTGTGCCAGCTATATGGTCCAAGAGGCTGACTGCACTCTACAACAAAGAAAGGACACTTGGGCTTCAACTGAATGGCACCAACACTACGGCCTATGTCTTGGTGAGCAAAGATAAATGACAAATGTGTGATGATGAAAGAATATTAATCTACAATTTAGATTGCATATAGATTACAGCAGTGAAGTGGAAGCGGCTGTTTTGAGTGAAATGATGTAACATTTTAGGTCTGGCAGAAAAAGAATGCTTTTACTGTAGATAGTGAATGTATATACTTGGAAGGGTGCAGAATTACACGCGAGGTAAACCATAGAAGATGATCCAATGGAGTGGTTAGCTGAAATATGTACACAATTGATCCGATGGTAGTGGTTAGCTGAAATATGTACACAGTTGATCCGATGGCAGTGGTTAGCTGAAATATGTACACAGTTGTCTCCTTACCCCAAATGTAGTCAGTCAGTTAAGACTTGTTAAATGCCAGGACATTGTTTATTTAGTTTTGCGCTGGAACTACAAGGCTAGACTAATGTAACTAAAAAGTAATGTACCTAATAAGTAATGGCTCACACATACTCATACATCAACAAGAGTACAAAACATAACTGAAAATACTAGGAACAGCCATCCTGAGGCCTGAATTTTGACTCTATTTTTGTCCATTTTTATAGAAAACGATGTCGTCCAGTGACAGAAAACACAAAAGCAAGTTTACTAAAGATTACTCAACAACTCAGTGGAGTTTGAGGAAAGGTGTGATGATTTTCACATGTAGTTTGCACAGTGCTAAACTGGTGACTTTTACCGTCCATTACCTATTACCTACATTACTCTCGTAGCTCCAGTGCAAAACTTTAGACACAAAACATGTCTTGGCTGATCTATAGGACTAGGTATCAAAATTCAGTACTTTTGTGGTACTATCAAATTATACTTTGTTGTCTTATTGAAAAATTTGGTATTGTTCAATAAAAAATAAAAAATATCAAATGGTTTCGTGTTTTCGAACATTTGAATTATCTAGTGTGCAGAATATGATCTATTACTTGACCCAGCCAGTATGTTTTTGTACCTTGTTTGAGTTACGTAAAAGCTTAAGAAATGTATTATTGAAGAATCAACATTAAGGTATTGGTGTTACCCATGTAGAGTATTGGTTTGGGTGTTGGTACATTTGAGGTAAGGGGGAAATTGTGAGCAAATTGAATATTTAGCAAAAAGTATCACTGGTAATATTTGCTCTATCCCACAAAAAGGATAACACACATGCGGTTGGCCAAAAGGCTGCGTTGCCTCAAACAGGAAGGTTGCTCGACTCTGCTATAAATGAACCTTGATCATCTGCGATCGATGACTTCTTCAGAAATGTACAGACAGTGTTGAGAACATTATGACTGTTATGAAGAGCTTATGAGTTGAAATCAATCAGTTCCTGTTGCATTCAGAGCTGCTCTCCTCATGATTGAGTACTCTTCTGAGAGATATCTCTGGATACTGAAAATCTCTCTGTCCATTCCCAGAAAGAATGACTAATCTGTGTCTCCAAGGGCTGTAGTCTTTATGACCATACACAGCCACTTGCAGAAGTATTCAGACTGGAGTGCTTTGGAAGTGTTTAAAGCCACAGTATACAATTCTAGAAACAGATTGTTAATATTTGAACTCAACAGAAGAACAAATACATCCCTTAGACATCTTTTTTTAGATCTTCATGGCATACGATGTACAGACAAATACAATAATATAATGTTAGAGCGAACACAGCAAGTAGCATAACTATCGTCAGCAGGGTTGTGAGTTAGCAAACTGTCACTGCATTTGCTGCTGCAAATGCAAACAATACTGACCTATTGGTTCTGTGAAATAGCAAAAAAGGTTAATGTTACTCACCTGTCAAGCAGAAACAGTTTTCTCCTCATCCCTTTTGATGCCTTTCAACTCTCAATGAGGCTGAAGTCAACCTACTGTTCAAATTCTTTTTAAATTTTCTTGTCCCACCTTACATGGTGAAGCAGTTAGGCTATAGTCAGCTACCCTAACATGTGTTCATTAAACATTTTAGGACTGATATTTTCTATTGTTCAAAAATTGGGAATCATATGTCATTATAATTGTGGCTGTTTTATTCAAATAATATACTGTTTTTGTCTATTTATAGTAATTTCTTGGTGGGTTATCTACCTCACTTTTCAAATATAAGGCATTCTGGATGTTAATTTTATGAAGCTGTAGATTAGTAGTATCATAGGACAATCATTTTTATACATCTTATCTTTAACAAATGGATTTTATGCTAATTGAAAAAAATGATTCCAGACTTTGACAGTTATCTTCTAATTGGCTGCCCTGTATTGTGCCTCATTCAAAGAAGCAGTACAGGCTGAAACAGTTCTCATAACTTCAATATGAATGGGTGGGCTAAACTGCTGTAGCTTGAATCGTTTGATGTGTGTAAATGCAAGGAGTTTTGTGACATCAGAAAAACATTGTGCTTTTATATATAGGCAGTATGGGTGGGGAAGTGAGTGGTATATTTCAAAACTTAACTGTTTACATGCTATCTTAAACTCTTATTTCAACTTGTATTTTCAAGTTGTATTTTTTTCTTGATATTATACCTTATAAGAGAATAAAGCTTTGACATTATGGTGAAAAATACATTGAAATAAACTCTTCAGGGGAAAAAACCTACCTACAAGAAAACCTTTCTGTCCAGTGTCAGTTAATATTAATATCATATTATTATTATTATTAATAATATTACTGTTAATATTACTGTGTAATGTTTTAGAGTTCTCCAGATGCCTTCTGCCCCAAAGATCGAACCCGAGACATCGAGGCAATTTTGCGTGTCATTCAGGAGGCCAAGAGGTTCATCTATATCTCCATAACAGACTATCTGCCTCTCGTCATTAATAATTCACACAAGTGAGTCAATTCACACTTTGATACATAAAATGTCAAATCATGGGTTCTTTTTACACTCAAAAGTATTGCATTGATTTCATATTTAAAATCCTATAGATCTGCAAGAGTATTAGCATCATTCTGTCAGCTGGTTTAAAGACAGAGTTCAAAGCACATTTTGGACTTTTAACTGACTTGAGCCCCATTCAGAAGGTGGGCTAATGTAATTATTACCGGCATTTATCAGTGATTTTAGTCCTGTCAGAATGCGCTATGTCAGTCATTTTTACCATCTGCGCACCCCGCTTCAGTAAAGATTGCAGCACCGCTTACTTTTCATAAAAATGAGCAGTTTATCTAAAAAACCCCAGGTTATATTAATCCTGTGTGAATTAACATGTTGTTAAAAATCATATCCTCTGGAAACTGAGTTTCTTTAGTATGGAGGCACTCGAAGAAGCATTTACTTGTGTTCTCTGTGGTTAAAATCAAGCTAGAATGTACAATTGCTGTCCTGCCTTATGTGCTCAACTCAGATCTGGAAAAAAATGTACATTTTTACAAAAGGTTTGCAAAAAGTTTTATGCACTGAAGTTGACTGTTGACTTTGAATTCCTGAGCTAATGATGATGCTAATGATGCACTGCAATCACTTAAGACAGCAAGGTAAATGGTTAGGGTAAACAAATTAACAGCAAAATGAAATATTGTATGCTCTTTTCTGTAGTAAAGGTGAGTAGCCACTCCTATCTCTGTCATTTATACTGAGATTTCTTATCTCATGCAGATCAATCATAAAAATCACAGACATCCTGTGGTAAATTGGCATTAACCTACCTCTCCATGGAAAACTAATCCCATCTGAATAGGGCTTTGAACATTTGATCCTTTTGCTTTGAATGATCCTATGCCTTAATAATGTTTATTTAATTAAAACAAATAATTGAACATTCCATTTTGTCACTACCAAAACTATCATAGCACAACTGAAACTTTACCAGATGTTTTGCTAGTAACCTTTTAGATACTGACAAAACATTGAAAATAAACATTAAAAAAAATCTTGAAATTTTGGGATTAGGGTTTGGCACGGCCACTTTCCAGTAGAAAGTACCTCAAAATTATGATTTTGTTTATTTTTAGCTTGTTGCTTGTTACTTTAGCTTATCATTATCTCAAGTAGTGCCTTGGGTTTACATAAATCATAACATAATCCTTGTAAATGTCTAAGATCTGAATACTTAAATCTTATTTTAATATTTGAATTTTTTTTTCCTGTGGGACTGCAGTTTGATCCAATTAGGTAAAATGGTTCATTAAAGCAAAACAAATATCTTGTACTGTACTAATCTAACAACCTGGTAATAACTCTAATAAATTTGCTCTTTGAGTAGTTCACTCATATTTTGCATTTAAGATGTACAGGCAAAATTTAGAAGTGAAGTTTGTTACTACTCCTGGTTATAGCTAAGCAATGTACTTTTCTCCATTTTTAATGAAATCTGTGTCATACTACAGAAAGTCTGTTTGTGATTACCCAGCAACTTGAAGCGGTTTGAAGCAAGTGTGTGGTAATTTAGGCATGCAGTTTGCACAGTGCTAAAGCGATGGCTATAGTCTCCCATTAGTTGTTAGCTACATTAGCCTCATAGCTCCAGTGCAAAACTAAAGAAGCACTTGACACTGTGAAATAAAAAAATAAGAAAAAGTTAAAGGATGACATTTATTGGGTGGCAGCATATTGAAGTATGTCTACCCACACAGACAGAGCTGAGGAAAAACATATTGTGGCTCACACTGACTAAGTTCACTCTTAGTTTTGCTTTTTTTTCTTAATATATTTTCAGTTATTTTTTACTACTACTTTACCTACTGCTTTATAGTATCTAGGGCTTTATGTTTCGAGTGCTGTTTTTATCTCGTTATTCACTTTTTCATTTGGTCTTCTTGTTTTCCTCAATTTAACTGACATTTGAATGATGAGAATGATTATTTTTTTGTATCCTGTTTAAGGTATTCCATTATTACATTTATTAGGTGAGAGACTAGTTCTGTGGACTTTGGTTTTTATTGTTTATATTCAGTTAATATTCATTTAGCCTGCTTGGTATGTGTGCTCTAGCAAATACTGGTCACGCATTGATGGGATGCTCCGAGAGGCCTTGATCCTGAAGCACATCAAAATTCATCTGCTGATAAGCTGCAGGGAGCAGACGCATCCTCTCACCTTTAATTTCGCGTGGTCTCTGAAAAGCCTATGCATGGAAATGTCTAACTGCTCGATGGAAGTGGTGAGTGAGATTTTTAGATTTTGCATGTTAGAATATGCCTAAATGATTGAAATGCAGTACTGTGCAAGAGTCAGAGACCACTCATTTGCTTATTGAATTTCTAATCAAAACGGCCAGTAAGTTATTCATTTTTAGGAAAGAAAGCAGGAAACATGTATTTGACAGGTTAATTTACATTAGATTAGATTACGCATAAGCCTCCAACACTAAGTATAATATCAAACATATAAGTATTCAATTTGTCCATCCTTTGCTTTTGTGCACCCTACTGCTACTTTAACTGTTTCCAACCTTTAAAGTCTAAACCAACCAGTTATAACTTTGTCCTCCCAACAAAAGCTGTTCCCAAAAGAGTCAGCAGTCCTTTTTTCCACTGCAGGGTCGCAAGGTTCTGAGCATGGAGGGTAGCTGTACCAGTGGCATTTCCGCATGACCACAGTTTGACGCAGAACACTTAAAAAAAAAATCTCAGTGCAGTTTTTTATACTATTTTTTACTATTCATTAAATGGCAAAACTTCAATCCGACAGCAGTTTCTAAATGTTGAATAGTGCTGCTAACCAGGAGAGAGAGTTGTCTATGGTCTGTGGTCTATTCTAACGTACAGTGCGTCACCAAACAACAGTATTTCTAAAATCGTGCATTCAAATACAGCTCAACTAGCTAAACAAAACACTAGAAATGTGAGCTCCTCAGATGTGTTAGCCACGAATGTGATTCCCGCACTGTGCTACAGAGACTGTTGTTGACAGAGACATATGAGGAGCACAGGATCAAAACTATGAAACACCCTTTACTTAGAGCAGTACAGAACTGCTTTTCTGACATGGAACAAAATCCATTCTTCTCCACTGCAACACTACTTGATTTAAGAAAACTGATGTTACATAGCTAGTAAGATTTGAATGATTTAACTGTTCAGATACGTTGCACTCACACATACAAACAGCTGCTTAATTCTAAGTAAGTTACTCATTATGATAATGGTATCTGTTTCGACAGGTACTAAAAAAATATATTGTCATATTCGTACACTGTCTGAAAAAATAGTATTGCTGCATCCCTAGTTGCTGCACTTCTGCAGACATAGGTAAAGGAAAGTTTGAACCTCTATCACTTTGAATAATTTTGAGGATACCAAAAATAGAAAGAAACTGAGAACAGTTTTAACCTTTTTTCTTTGCAATTATTCTCAACAGATTTTCGTTGCGAGATAACGAGTGGCCCATTATTTTCCGCAAATTAACAGCCATATTTCGATGGTGACAAAGGACCAACACAATCTTTAATTAAATGTTCAAATGGGTTACACACTGCAGGAATAGAATATAAAATAAGCAATTTAATAGTATGATTAGGCTTACTTGTCAACTGACGTGTGACACGTCTTAACAAACTTGACAGTGTCTTATTTCAGGTGAGGCTAAAAGTTCTGCTGTCACTGCGCAAGAACAGACAGCAGATCGGTTTTATGTAAGGGAACACAAAATGTTTCCAACCTAATACTAATCAGATTTAAACAATGCTCCCATTATTGGACTGTAAAAAAGCCAGAAATGGACTGCAATATCAATGAACCTAAGATACCCTAATATCACGAAGCATTTTAACAGCCATCTTCTGTGATAAACGGACTGTAAGGCAAATCATTAACAGAAGATCTATCAAAACTAGACATGGTCTGTGGTTCTGTTACACCAAGCATGCTATAACTAGCATGAGTGGGGCTGTAATTCAGCAGTGAGGACAGCTAAGAATGGTGTGCCACCTACCGGTCAGTACTTGTTAGTGCAAGTGTTATCTACTGTCACTGTCCACTTTATTATAAGCACCTACCTCTTACTACCACTCACTGACCTCTTTATAAATTCCATCTACTTACTACATAAGTGTACAACAGACTGTAGCTCATCTGTTGCTGCACAGTGCTGCCCACTACCTAATTAATCATTTGTCAGTTTCTGACCGCAGGACTGCTTCTGACCAGATATTATTTGGGTGGTGGATAATTCTCAGCACCGCAGAGACCTTGACATGGTAGTGTATGTGGTGTTCTAACTGTACAAGATGTTTCTAGTAAGGTAGCCGGTCAGTGTAACTGTCAAAAGAAATTCATACTTAAAAATGCAGTTCACGTGAGATGACCTCATTAGTTCTGTGTTTAACAAAGAGACGTTTTTTGTTGATAACTCTGAATCCTTCCATATTTGTCTGTTTTTAATGTTCATATAGAGATTCTTTAGTCCACGGCTGCAAGAGGATGGATCTCTACAGGGCATCAACCATCACAGATACATGGTGACTGACAACTCTGTGTATATAGGTGCGAGCAATCACTTTATTCAGATAATGACTTTTGTAAAGATTTTAAATTAATCATGTTTAGCTGCCTGCTAATTATTCTGTAAATAAAACATGACCGACAGAGTACTGTCGGTCATGTACTGACAAATGGTTAATATTCATTTGTTGTCCCTGAGCAGATTGATGTTTAAAAATAAACAGGATCTTAACAAAGGAAAAAGAAAAAGCCACACGATTAAAACGGCAAAGGACAAGCACCAAAATAAACACACACATCATACGTACTCATTATACAGTGGGATCCGAAAGTCTGAGACCATGGGTAAAATGCTTGCCTTTTTATTACAGTTGATGTTATCTGCATAACAATTTGAGTGAATGTAAATCTTTGAAATATTTACATTAATTTCAGAATTTCTTAGTATTTAGTTTATCCCGGTTTTAATAACTGTGCTCTCAAACTGGCGTGGACTCCGATGAGTAGAGTAAATCTCCCTGAGAGTCTGAACACGTCAATAAGAAGAGATAAAAACTCAAACTTAAAAAAAAAATCTGATCTGACCTTGTTGTACAAAGGCCTTAATGTAGACACTAATGTTTGAAAATCTAAAACTTACTGTTAGTTTTTTCCAGGTTTAAAAAAAATCCAGATTTTCAGTCTGGTCTCAGACTTTTGGACCCTCATCGCATTCAGTTTAACCCTAATCTAAAGGAGTTTTGTAAAAACACTCTCCTAATGTTGATCAAAGAACTGCTCTAAAAAGTAATTGAGGAAGAAGTCATCCCTTCAGTGTGGTTCTTTGTTTTTGGTTCTGCAGGGAACTTTGATTGGGTGGGGAACGAGTTCTTGTACAATGCTGGAGCTGGACTGGTCATCAGTAAGGCGGTGGGTTTCACAGGGAAGAGCTCCACTCTAGTGGAACAGGTGAAGGCCGTCTTTGATCGAGACTGGTACTCTGCATACACTAAAACTCTGCAACCAAACAAAATTCCTACATGCAGCACAATCACTGTCTTCCCTAGTTCGCTTTTAAAAGGCCAAACAGGTCATATAGAGCATGGGAGTGGCCCAAACACCTCTGTATGAGACACTGAGGCAAGGAGTGGTGGGTCTAAATGTTTTTTCATATCAATTTGTTGATTGTGTCATTGCTTACAGATTACATCATTCATTTTATAACACTGCAGTTTGTAATGCCGTTTTTACTTTATAGCTGATTGTCCAGAGAACACCGGTGAGTTTTTTTGTTTTTACCCAGTTTGGAGGTAAATCTACCCCCTCAATAGACAACATTGCCACTAATCGAACATGAGGTCAGCTATATACATTTTTTATCATCTAAATGCAAATAAAATTACATTGTCAAAACCACATTTTAAGCAAATCTTTTGGACTAGGTTGTAGTGATAAAAAAGGAAAAGGCATCCTTTAATGGCAGAACGATGACAATTACTGTATATAGAGCAGTGAGTTATTGTGATCACTCTATACCCTAATGTATTAGGCATAAAATCTTATTTATTATTACAGGAAGAACATATATTCAGCTTTGTAATTTATGACCTTGCTTATTTGTTTGTTTGTTTGTTTATTTATTTAGTCATTCATTTGAAGTCTCATTAAAGGTTACCAGCATCATTTTAATAATTATGTAAGTCTAAGAAGCCATTCCCTTTGCAAATATGTGGCTGTTTTTATACTGCACATTATGTATACATTTTTATACTTCAGTGTACTGTATGTCATTCATATTATGTGTTTTATAACAAACTGGGATTTATTATATCAAAGGAAAGATGCTTCTCACTGTTGGAATGTAGCACTAAGCAACTTTATTTCAACATTAATTTAGGGCAAATTTCAGACAGTAGATCCTTTTATTCCTAAACAGAATGTGCTTCATTTTTGGCAGCATGAATCTGAGACATTTCAGTGATGATGCCACTTTTATTTTAATTGTTTTAGAGATAAAAAAGTCATTGAACCCCTGACCTTGCATTGTTGATTGCACTGGACTAGCTTTGCTGATGAGTCCATTTAAATGATGGGAAATCACCGTGACTGTTTTTTGATTTTAAGCAGATGTTAACATTTAATAATTTCTGTCTTGCTGTTGAGCACATACTTATTTTATGATTATGTTGAGAACAGAGACTATATTTTTATATCTGTTTTCTTTGACCAGAGAAGTGCATTTCATGTAGCCACTTTGTTGGCCGTTATAGTAAATTCTTTATCATTACTTATTTTAATTTTTTTTTTTTTTTTGCAGAAGGAAATTCTAATTTTTATATTGCACTATGTTCTACTTTCTTTATGATCGTCTGAAAGAAGTGTGTGAATAGCACATACCAAAGCTTTGAGACAAGTATTGTTATTCATTCATAACATAAGTTAAATTCTATATGTAAATGATTTACAGAATGAAGACAAAACTGCTGCTCTTGCTATGATGAAAAAGTCACCTCTGAATAGTTATTTAAAGGGGAATTTCACACATTTTTTTTTTCAAATTTCTACATAATTAAATACTTAAGACAAAGTTGTTTCATATGACATGTTTCGTTCTAGAGACACTTGGAATCTGCGTTCCAAAAGCTAAGCTGCTGTCCAGGTGAGCTGCATTTCTGTACCACTGGGTTATCCAAGGATGTTGATTCCAGTCATAATGATCCCTTGAATACAGCTGAGAAATGCTGTCCACATACTCAAATTTTTTAAGGATCTTACAGGAGTGTCCTTCAAAATCTTTTGTCACCTATTATCCTTGCGTCTTACCCAATAGAAGTTCAAGAGAAATGGTGACAGATGAAACCAACTTCTACACATAAAAAAGGCCAATAAACATATAGTAAGCATATAGTAAACGAACATATAGTAAGCAATAAAGTATTTTATTTCCTCAGTTGTGAATCTGTTTAAGAGGGTGTAAATTGAACGCAGGGTTTAAAATGCATCTGCTTTTAGTGAGTTTAATAGTTTTTAGCATTTAATCACAAACAGATAGTTTTGCCTGCCACATCTTACATCATTCTCATCACCATTTTGCTTAGCTTATTATTCACATTAATAGTAGTTTCTTTATTAATTCTTGTGTGCCAACTATTTACTGATGACATGACAAAATCTAGGTAGACTGTTTCATTTTGCAATATGTAATACAAATGAGGAGCCTACTGAGGACTCACCTTTTTCAGCTGCAGCCAAGCTTTTGGAACACAGCTGCAGAGTCAGAATGGTTTACAGTGGTGGTAAGAACCAGACATTGAAGAGTTTAATGCCTCTAAAAGTTTATGCACAGTGTTTTTTTCACAGAATGGTGATACATTCAACGCCTGACATCTGAGAAATTGTTACCCAGTTTTAAGAAAAGACTTTGATCTAAAATGTGTTTTTTAAAATCCATTCGTAGAGCACCGCAGGGAAGAAAGTAAGAAAAAGTCCCAAAGAAAACCTTTTGTTAACATTAATTATAAAAACTCAAAAGACTTTTTGTTTCATTAGTCATTTTGGATAGTAAATGAAATGGCTATATTTGTGTTGTTGACATTGAGACCTCTGGTTCCTATCGTCACCAATGTAAAGAAATCTGAGTCACTAAGGCCCTGTTTACACCCGGTATTAACATCCGTCTTGAGTGATCTGATCATAAGTGGACAGTGAGACATATAGCCATTTACACCTGGCACTTAGATAAAAGATAAAAGATAAAAATTTCTATGTGAGCCCTTGTTTGTGTAAATGTAAGGGCTATTGCTGTGGTTTAGGTTGCATGGATTGCTAACACAACTTGTGAGGAAATATGAGAGGAGCCAAAAAAATAAACTACACAGTTGCTCTCTGCTCTGCTGTGATGACACAGCTAATTAACGTGGTTCTTTGCAGCTATTGGCAATGCACTGAGCCACTTTTGAGTTCATGCTACAGTGGTTATGTGGTCATAGGTGTCCCTGACCGCCTCCGAAGCTGGTTCAGGTGATCAGATCACAACGCATCTCTGAGATGCGTTGTACCCCATTTATACTTTGTACTTAGTGCTGTCCAATAAGTACAACCAGGATGGATGTTCATACCATGTGTAAAGGGGGCCAAAGTTTCTCTGCAATGAACCATTTTACACCACACCACTCTGAATATCTTTATTTACATCTCAACCATTGAATTACATTGAAATTCAGAAAAATTCCCTTTAAGTGGGTGATAGTTTACAAATGCACTGAGGCCAAAAAGTAAAGCTGTAGGGGCCCTTTGCGCTGCTATACACTGTAGACATGGCCCATCCTTATGAGGTAATACAAAAAAAATGTTTCTTAATTAATTTTTTAACATGTGTAACTGTTTGATTGATTTTGAGAATTAATTCAAAGGCACCATATTTTAATTTAAAAAAGAAAATGAAAATGTGTTTTCACCACTGGGATCCAGTCTATAAATGTCTGTCAAGAATAAATACACACTAAGATAGTTTTCAGCTCAATAATTGAACCAAACTAACTAGTCAGTATACAACATGAGTGCTCTTCAGTCAAACAAGAATTTAAATTTAATAAAAGCTTAGATATCCCCAAATAACTATTGTGTTTCCTATTAAGTTAGACTTCTGTGCAATAAAAAAATATAGAAAAGATGTTTGTCCTGCATAAGTACATGAGAGGGTGGGTTATGTTCCATATTTAATGCTGCCATCTAAGGTTTTGCTCAGATTATTCCATAATATTGCAATCAGTGCACAAACACACTTTAGCCATTTTCACACACCTCCTGGTCTGCTGCATTATTTTTATTTAACACCTTAGTTTATTTCTTCATGTTGTATGTAGAATGTCAAATAATGCCTTTAACTAAAGCAAGACAACAAAGAGAATGTGTGATGAGGAGCTGCTCTATGGCCCCCATCATGATAAATGTCAAAAGTTACACAATTTTCGCATGAGAGCTTCTTGCATGTTCTGCCTTCTTAAACTGTAGAATTTCCTGGGTGTCCACACAAACTCTATAAAACAAATCCAGGGCTGCCAACTCTCTCACACCTCCTAGTTAGCACACAGAGATTTTCAAAATCAATTACGAATGTGAAAACCTCCTTTACAAAAAGATGCTGAAAAATTCTTTTTGAAATAGCAGGAGAGCTGAAGTTTTTGAATCTCTCAAAGTTGGCAGCCCTGCGAGCTAATGTGTATTTAAACTTTGGTAATGTCATTAAAGTTATTAAATGGTTTGCATTTGTATTCCTAATAAAAAGAAAACTTTCTCTGTTAAAAAGGAAAATAGAAATACTTGTACTGTCTTGTGCTCATTTTTTTATTTTCTTTGTTTTTCATGACTAACTTCATTAACAGGCTTATATTCTCTTTTACATTCTGAAAGCAACTGACCACTAAATGTGCTGTAGTGACCTTTATCATCATATATCTGTCCTTCGGAGAACAGTTGTACATAGACCACATTTCCTACTTCTAACGGCAGAGATGCTCCATTGGTTGTGCTCACTAAATGACTGGGTTGTTGACAGTGACTTGGACAGCAGCGGTTGGAGTACTGCCAAATCCTGGAGAATCTAAACATATAGACTCCTCTGACAGGTACTGTGAAGATGCCTATAGCGGAATGAAAATCAGAGTGACACTGTGAAAGCTTCAAAGGAGCCATCCACACAAAATAGTAATAATATGTACATTTCTGTGACAAAATCATGGGAGTTCAACATGGATCCTGCTCTTTATAGCGTATGTAAATATATAAACATAAAATGTATCACAGCACACAACACTTTGTGTGTGTGTGTGTGTAGTCAAGGTTTGCTAAGCTTTCAGCACACTTTTCCTCAACATTCTGTTCTTTCAGTCAACCAATGGAACAGCATACCCATGAGAATGAAACATGTATAGGCCTACAGTGTTAAGATCATAGGACCGAAAACTAGTTACTCCTATAGTTACTGAATAATAAACCTTAGTTTGTAATAATAGTAGTTAGATAATAGTTTGCCAGGGTTTTTAAGGGGTTAATTAATAGTAAGTTGTCCGTGAGATTCTCAGAAAGTGACCATATACGCATATATGTGCGGATACTCAGATGATACCTCATCAGAGATAAATTCTTGACATGTTGTTTTAAAATGAATGCAAATAAAATAAAATTACTTTTGAGATTTCAGAATTAGACACATTTCCAAACCATAAATCAATTAATAACACAGACACTATCATTACACAATTGAAGAAAAAAAATTCTCACATTTATATCTATTAAAGTGTTAAGATCATACTACCGAAAACTACTTATTTGTGTTGGATTTTGATGTAATCCATTCAGCTCTAACCTTCACTATAGTAACAAATTTAACCACTTAAATTGCAAGGGCCCACTGGCAAACCCAGAGTTTTATTATATACTTCTATAAATTAAAGAATAGCTCAACCAGTTTGCCCTCAAGTCCCTATAGTTACTGAATAATAAACCTTAGTTTGTAATAATAGTAGTTAAATAATAGTTTGCCAGGGTTTTTAAGGGGTTAATTAATAGTAAGTTAGATATTACATGTCTTATTATGTCTTTTTTTTTATTTAATGTGACCCATTTTGTCAGCTAATTCAGAAGGCTAACCAGCCTTGTACTATGATCACCGTAGATTAGACTAAAGCAAAGCATCCTACCGCTTTAGCTCCAAGACATGCTTAATTAACATTATACTGTGTAAGACTTGGGGATTTGGGGACTTCTCTGGTGGTAATATGTAATTGCACACAACATGGGTTGTGTTTTGGAACCCTTTTTTGAGCGAGTGAATCTGAGGATTGCAAGCGGGTTGAAAGAATGTTCTAAGAGAACCCTGATTGGTAAAGGACATGTCTTCTGAAAATGTAAGTGATCATCAGTATAATGTTGATTTAACCTCTGACACCTAAACATTGAGCTGAAACTTCTTTTTGAGCCTGTGCGTGTGACGTTAACATGTGAAGATGTATGACATGGTCTGAAAAAACTCCCACCAAATCTGATCTGACACCTCTGACTTTTAAATTAATATTTTAGGCTTTACAGGGTGATCACAGCAGTGCATGCACAACGTATTTTAGACTGTTTTTGTCTTTTGACTTTGTAATGCTACTTCTTTCAATTTTAACCAAATACTGCTCAAAAAGAAAAAAATATATATGCATATTGATTGATGTGGCATCATTGTATGATACAGTAACTAAAAATGAAGGCCAGCAGATTTCAAACTGTGGGTCACGACCCATTAATAGGTTGCAATGTGGGTATGAGTGGGTTGCGACCTACAGTTTTAAAACCACTGTTAGCTAATGTAGAATGGCTGCAGTTACTCTATGAGAGCGGTGTCCAGTCTTATCCACACAGGGCTGGTATGGCTGCAGGTTTCCATTCCAACAAAACAGGAGCTCACCGGATTCTGCTTGTTCATTCAGTCGTCAAATAACTGGTCAGGTGTGCTCCTGCTTTGTTGTAATGACTTGCAGCCATTCTGGCACTTGGACACCCTTGCACTATAAGAATTGGTTTACAATATTTTCCCTCCCATATATATATATATATATATATATATATATATATATATATAAACAACAGTCTAAACTATATTGTTTCCACCATCACTGCCTTTGACCTATTAACCCAGCAGCTACACAAAAACTACCCTGGTCAGTGGAAATAACCTAATAAAATGACCCAGTAAATAACTTCAATCCAATATCTGAGCAGAAAAATAACTGCATCCTACACTTTTCTTACTTACCAAGAGTAAGTTCATTTCTGAGTTTGAACCTTTACTGATTGCAGAACTTCTTTGTTTCGTTGGTTCTTTTGTGGTGGAAAAGAAGTTCTTTTAGTTTTGTGTGTACATCTGTATTACTAAATAATAAGCCTTAATAATAATAAGTATGTAAGAAGACTGGGATTTTAATGGGATAAATACCTGGTTCAGGTACTTATTAAATACCTAGTATAAGTACCTGTTAAACATGTAGTATAAGTATTTGTTAAATATCAAGTATTAAATATTTCTATTTAATAATAAATTACATGTTTAAATTACATAAATTACATATTTAATAAATAAATGTGTGATCATTTTTGGTACTTGAGCTGTAAAATTCCTTGAGTTGTACAAACAAACTTTTATAAAGAAAAGTTGTCAACTTCCAGTGAGTTGCCCAAGAGTTGTCCGTGAGATTCTCAGAAAGTGACCATATATGTGCGGATACTCAGATGATGCCTCATCAGAGATAAATTCTTGACATGTTGTTTTAAAATGAATGCAAATAAAATAAAATTACTTTTGAGATTTCAGAATTAGACACATTTCCAAACCATAAATCAATTAATAACACAGACACTATCATTACACAATTGAAGAAAAAATAATTCTCACATTTATATCTATTAAAGTGGACAGCTTTGGAAGTTAAAGTATATTTAAAATACCTTTGGTAATGTCAAAATTATTTAATGATTTGTGTTGTCTCTCTGCATGTTGTTTCAGTGCTGGCTCAACACTACTAATTTTTCATTTTCATTGTTTTTTCATTGTTTTTCATTAATAACTTCAGTGGTCTAAGCTGACCTTTTTACATTGTGAAAAGCAACTGTCCGCTAAATGTATTGTGGTAATTTACATTATCAAATATCTGTGTATCGGGATACAGTTGTACATAGACCACATCTCCCACTTCCAACAGCAGAGATGCTCCATTGGTTGTGCCCACTCTGTGGCTGGGTTGTTGACAATAACCGATAACCACATGATGTCCATTCTTAAAGAGCCGTGCTCCAACAGCGACTGAAGTACTACCATTTCCACTAATGGAGAATCTGAACATGTAGACTCCTCTGACAGGTGCTGTGAAGATGCCTGTAGCAGAAATGAGTGACACTTTGTAAGCACTTAAAAGGAGTAGACTGTCCAAAATAACAATATCTACAAATGGTTGCAGTGATTCTTCAGGTTTATTCTGGCCAAGTGAGAGTGTTCTCTAGCTGACAAACATCATCTTTAGTCTGCTAAACGTAAGTGAGTTAAAAGTCAGATCTGTAAGATGTTTTGAAAACTAAAATCTTGAGTTGTATGGTACAATTTCTCAGTACATGCAGTTACTCTCCCATTAGTTTTGTCTAAGAAAGAAGTATGAACAAGAAGGAAAAACAAGACTGAAAGTCAATGGGAACTTATTTGAATTGTCTGTAGAGTAAGAAGAATCTGCTCTGGAAGGAAATACAGTGATACTGTGCGACTAGAGCCAAATTTGTCAGTTGCGTAACCATGTATAAAATGTCCTAACAAGCAGTCAAATGTCTTATAGTGTTATTTCCTTATGCTGTCCTCTTCTGTCTTAAATATTCACCAGGAATTTCTATTCATGACAAAATGTAATAGAAAATAAAGTGTTCCTCAGTGTTTTTTGCATTTTTTTTTTAAAGAAAATAATCACATTATGGATTTTAAGGTTTTGGTAAAACATTCTTGTGTGCAGCCTGTGTTCAGTTGTGCAGTGGTGAACATTACCTGTTTCTGGATTGTAAGCTTTGCCAATGTTCACAAAGACATTAGTGTACTTCAGTGTAAAATCAGTGTTGAAGGGTCCAGTTGTTGTAACGGCTTCTTCAGTAGACAGTGATGCTGAAAAAGCTATTTTATCTGTGAATAATATTAATGATGATGAGCAAATAAGCATGGAAAATTAACCTTGCTTGCTCAATTTAGGCTGCTACAAGAAGGCAGAAGTTCGATCAGTGGTTCCCCTTTATCGTATAGTCATTGTCCAAAAGAATAGCTACTGATTTGCCAGCTTGCCTCCAAATCATTGCTCTGCATTGAGGAAAAGAGGAAAAGACAAAAAAGTTTGTTGTCACTGGTCATAAAACCAGTCAACCCCAACATCTTAATATATAAAGAAATCTGGTAGTCCCAATCAAGGCCGCGCTACATGGGCCTAGCAAGGTTGTGGTAAGGGTTAACTATGGATGGATCAATGTTTTAACCATGTTCGTTATTTTGCGTTTTGCATTGAAAAAATATTTTGTATATTTCTGAATAAACAAGGGCACACACTCTCTCCTGTAAAATATTCAAAACAACATGTTCTGTTTTGTATGAAAATAAATGTAAATATGAAGAAATACTGTAAGTGCAGCCCATAAAGAGGTTTTTTTGACATATGTGGACAAATACATATCTGTATTTGATCTTCATGTCCTGTAGTCCCTGATAATTCTATTGCCATTTTACATTTAATATTACAGCCTCAAAACTTGATTTTTACGTTTACCAGTCTAACCAGTTCTGTTGCATTGCACATCAGTTGAACAGTGTGTAGTAAACTTTCTGTAATAGAACAAAAACAATGGAAATTTGAAAACAAAAAAAGAAAGTAAGCACACCTCTGGCATCAGTAACTGGTACTGCCCCCTTTGGCAAAAACAACTTTATGTAACTACCAGTTGCCAGCTTCTGCTGTGAATTTTTTTTGCCCATTCCTCCTTGCAGAGTTATTTTAGCTGTGTAGTGTTTGAGGGGTTTCTTGCATGTACAGCCCATTTAAACTGATTTGACTTTTTGTCAAATCTGTCTTTAGCACATTGTTCCAGAAGCTCTTGCCTAGATATTCATTCACAAACTTTAGTCTTGCCTCAATGCTTTCTTTAGGCAGCACCTCCTGTGTAGGTCAGATTTGTGCATTTTTGTTCTAATGGTAGATGCATGCAGTTTGACATTAACAGGAGCAAGAGCTCCAGATCCTGTAATGAAATTTTGGTGTTATTAGAGACTGCTTTTAGCATCTTATGGTCTGTACTAGAGTTAAATTTGGTGGCGTGGCCTTGCCTGGACATGTTGGCAGTGGTTTTTAGTCTTTTCCACTTGTAGATGATCTTCTGTGGAATGATTGATCGTCAATGAAACGATTGATTACCAAAATTTTGGAAGTCTTCCTAAACCCCAGACTCATAGGCATTTACTACCTTATTTCTGAAAGCCTCAGAGAGCTCTTTTGATCTAGGCACGACGATACTACATGCTCCAGAAACAAAGAGCAAACCAGACCAGATATCTAAGGTTTGAGTAAAACTCAGATATGATAAATAGGGATGTACTTAATATTTCCACAGAAGAAAATTGCATTTCTGCTGTTCTACAATTTCAGGTTTTCAGGATGACAGAAATGCTCATTTTAATCGTCACTTATTAAATTATATAACATTAAACAATTATTTATACATTAGCATTGTTTAAATGAAGACCAGATACATCTAGGTCCAAATGTTGAAAAAGTCTAAAATTTTCACGTTTTTAAATTGAGCGGGTTAAAGACTAAATGACTGTGTAATCGGTCTGCAATTGTTTATGCTTTACCTGTCAGTATTTCCTGGAACTTGGAACTTGGTTGTCTTGGGCCATTTAAAAAAAATTGAATGTACATTCAGCATATTCTGACATGCATACTTGAAAAAAACAGCACTTACATTCATTCTCCCTGCTCAACTCTCTCACTTGGCTCTCAGTGACATTCGATCTAATTTGTAGAGTTTTCAGCTCCAGAGCCTGACCTGAGATTCCATATAGATATTGTTAAAGAGACATTGCACACTTTTTGTGGTACAGTGTCTCTTAGATTGACACTCCAGTCATACGACATGAACAGTGTGTGTATTTTACCTTCAGTCTCTCTTTTCAGTTCCTCCACTTGTTTCTCACTGGCCTTCAGTCTGATTTCTGCTGAGAGAGCTTTAAAACAGACACAACACACCAGCTACAAACCCTGAAAGATCTAAATTTTAATCTAAATTTTAAATTAACTATAACTTAGCTCACTTAATCACTTAGCTGTACCTTCATTCTGCTTCTTCAGTTCCTCCAGCTGTTTCTCCACAGCGCTCATCTGGTTCTTTGTGTATCTCAGCTCTACACTTTGTTCTGCAAGTTTAATGCTCAGCTCTCTTAGCACTGTATGAATATCAGGCTGGCAGGGTTGTTGGTCGGAGATGGTTGCCTCAGTTCTTCGAGCTTCATTTTTGATGCTCTCTTCATCTCCGTAGTGAAGCTGATCAATGACCTCATTATCGCTCATTACCACACCACAGCACAGCAACACCAGCACAGCTACAGAAGACTTCATTCTGAAACTTCTCTTCTCTTCTCTTCTCTCCACTTCTCTTTTCTCTTCTCTTCTCTTCTCTTCTCTTCTCTTCTCTTCTCTTTTCTCTTCTCTTCTCTTCTCTTCTCTTCTCTTCCCTTCTCACTGTCACTGTGCTTTCCTCTTATGTTCTAAAGTGTGGGAAGTTTCTTCTGATGAAAATATGTTGCTTGCCATATTATCAGGACGTGTTCGTGACATTTTTTAACACCTCTTACAACATACAGCTGAGTAAATATTAGAATGCGTACCAGGTTATTCTTATCTCGCAAAATGGGCTGTTCATTTTACCAGCAAGTTGTGTTGATCATGCATCCCAAATTTTTTACTTTTTAATTGATTATTCATTTTTAAAGCAATACTTATAATAAACAATATTCAAAATAAGCATTATCAAATACGTTTGAGATTTAGTGATACAGGGCACACTTGTGCTGTGCAAAAGTCAGGGACCATCATTTATGTAATATCCACTCAAAACAGCTATTAAGTTAAAGTTATTCATTTTTCAGCATCTGGCCAAAGCAGAAAAACTAAATATAATATCAAATTTTATCAAAATTTAGTGTGTCCACTCCTTGCCTTTATCACAGCTTCCATTCTATTTTTTGGTTCTCACAAAACACATTTAATGATGTTAAGGTCTGGGCTCTGTGGTGGCCAGCCCAAAATTCACCAGCAGCTTCTTTGTTTGATTTGCCAGTGTTTTTCTTTTCTCAGTAAGGGCTTCTTGATGACTTCTATGCATCCTTTCAGATTCATAGTGTTAAGTTGTCTTCTCACAGTGGAAGAATGGACTAAAACACCTGTGGATTTTTCAGATCTGAATCAAGAATGGAGCTTGATTTTTATTCCTCTCTCTCAAAGATGAAAACTTTAAGTGCTGTTTATCTAAAGGGGACAGTGTTGGTGGTCTACCAGGTCTTTCAGGTGGTTGTTAGGCATCCCATTTTCTCGGTATCTTTTAACAATTTTTGAACTGAAAATTTGATCATTTTTACACAGGTAGGCAAAGGTAGTGTTAGGACTTATTGGTATAGTGTAGGGGGCTTGCCCAGGTGGGGGAACGAACCCCAGTCTATAGCATAGAAGGCAGATGTGTTACCCACTACACTATATCAAACACGTTATTACACACTTCTCTAACCTAAGAATATCTTAGCCAGTTTGCACTGAAGTCCCAATAGTTACTGAATAATAAGCCTTAGTATGTAATAAGCCTTAGATTTCATGGTAAGTTTTGATGGAAATTGATTAAATAAAGGGTGGAATCTCACTTTAGCATAGTACTATACATGCAATAATATACAAATGTAAGAACATTTTAGAATTTTGTTTTATTTTAATCTCAGGCTGGCTTTTGATGAGTTGTATGTGGTCCATGCAGTCCATATATGGATATTAAGCTGCAAAAATTTTAATAG